AATTCAATTATAAAATTAAAGATATTGACATATTAACATTAGTTTTTATAAATAAAAGTTTAAACATTATAAGTCAAGTGCAAGTGTCTTGTATTATCTGCTTAGACTCAAAAAAAAATAAAAAATGATCATTATAGTAAGTTTCGCTTAATATGCTATATTGGTACCGGGTTGGACCCAGATTCGGTAGTACAGTTCTGAATCTAATCATGGACCCGACTTTTGTATTTCGGTTCGGGTCCGGATCTTTAAAAAAACCCGCCGAATCCTGATTTTGCAGAACACTACTACTGACACAGCAAAACACGTACTTATTGACACAGCAAGTGACCAGCACTAACCTTAACGACTAGGGATGTTAAATTGCGAATCCAGTCTGGTCTGGTCCTAGAACCTGAAACGACGGTCCCAGACTTGATACAAAAAACCGTTAGCTGATCGGTCCCAAGACCAGGTCCTGAATTAGAATCCTTCAAATAAGTCCATCCAATCAGATTGATACTTTATAATTAGACATTAAAAAAACTTTACGATCAAAATTCTTTCATTTTCAATATTTCAATATTTATTTTTTGTGACAAAAAAATTTATACATATAGAAATAAATTTATATAAAAAACGAATTTATATAAAAAAAAAAAAGGAAAAATTTTATATAAAAAAATTTTATATATAAAAAAAAAAAGTTTTATATAAAACGAATTTATATAAAAAAAAAAATTTATATAAAAAAATTTTTTTATATAAAAAACATAAAAAGAAAAAAAAAACTTTTATTCATTTAAGCACTAACATCACTTACTCTTCATTTAACATATCATTTAGTTCTTTATACCAGCTTTTTAAACACAATGATACACGTGCAATTTCAGGATTTATGCGATTTCAGGTGGGGCTAATCGTGTGCTTGGCAACAGAGAAGGCTTGCTCGCAGGGCACACTAGTCGTCTGCATAGTGAGAAAGTCCATTGCAAGGCGGGAGAGAGTCAGGTACTGAACAGAATTTGCTTTCTACCAAAGAAGTAGTTCTGCTTCAGTTTCGGGATCGGCCAAATACTTGTCAATTTTACATTGATTCAAGTTAACCTGACGGCAATTGTTGAGGTTATAAAAAAGCTCGTATCTTGATTTAGTAATAGTAGTGACAGGTGAGAGTGGTTTATTTTCATTATTTTTTTCAGTTGTTTTATACATTTTGTATATTTCATAAAGTTTATTGATAGCTTGTTCACGTTCATAAACATCATATATTAAAAGTTTATTATATGGATCAAGTAGGCCCAAAATTGTTAAAGATTTATTTAGGTGAGCCCAGTATGTTGTAAATTTTACTTTCATTGCACTAGCTACAGCGTGTTGTGAATTAATTTCTGGGTCTTTGTTATTATTTAAATGTATGATAAGGGCATAGAATATCATACGCAAGTCATCTTGGGTAGGATATGTAGATGAAGACAACATTGTAGTCGCATGATACATGGGCTCAAGAAGAATTAACAGGTCCTGTAATTCACACATAATTAAAACAAGTATATTTAATAAGCGGTGTTGCTAAAGGGTTTTTTTTTAAAAAAAAAATTACTAACAAAAATAATTTTCCATTCTTGTTCACTAGGATAATTAGGTTTTAAAGTTTGGTTGCTCACTACAAGGATATCGGTTATGGGGCAGATTCATTTAAGTTTCTCTAACATAATATACATGCTGTTCCATCTAGTATCGATATCTGTTTCAGGTATTAAAAATAGAATGTTTTTTAGTTTAAAAATTTTCTTCAATTCTCGAATTAGTGACGGAGAATTTCAAAGCTTCATAGAGAACTCCCATGCTTTAGAAATTTCTTTGCTTATGGATTTTATTTCTTCTTCAACTATAATATTAAGGACATGGGCGCCACAGTGAAAATGTTGTACATTTTGATTTCTAAATTCATTATTCATTTTTTCTTTTAGAACACATCCCATCGCAAGTATATTCGCAGTGTTATTGGTTGTGACCCCTAGAAGTTTTTGGCTGATGTTCATTTTTTTTAGAGTTCAATGATAGCATCAGCCTGGTTAATTGCAGTGTGGGTTTTGTTAAATGGGATCATGTCAAGCAAAATTCGATTCATTTTTTACTCAGAATCTACCTAATGCGTGGTTATACCAATATAAGGCTACTGTGTATATGATGTTCAACCGTCTATTGTAATCGAAAATTTTGATTTAATGTTATTTAAAAAAAATTTAATATTAGTTTTATTTTTAATATACTCTTGACTAACCCAAGTCGAAAGTGTTTGGTGATATAGGAGATGATAACAGGGTCAAGTTCTTGTAAAAATTTAATAAAGACTGTATTTTCAGCTAATAAAAAAGATTGTTGATCAACACTACCCATCTTAAAAATTTATTATTTATAATATTAACTTTATATTTTTTATTTGGACCATAAGGTTCAAGTCATCGAACTCTATGTTGTCTAATTTTAGTAAATTCTGCAGAATAGAAATTTTGAAAATACCGATTAATGGTCGATATTGCGGTCTGATTGTCAAATTCTTGTATACATAATTAGCATTTGTTACTACCACCAGAGGTTTCTTTAAGGTAATCCCTAATGGGTGCTTGATTATGTGCGGATGAGGCATGTTTTCATGTTTTATGTATTTTATTTGGGGATAAGGATACAATTTCATCATCTGGAGATAAAGGTGTGATTTTATCGCCTAAGAATAAAGATATGATTTCATCGCTTGAGAGTAAGGATAGGATTTTATCACCTGATAAGGATGCAATTTC